TTTTAATAACGAAATAAACAATATTTTTTTGTTTGTTGAATAAGTTTTTTTATACCCGAGCGCACTTGTGCACAAGGCTATTATAACTTTGTTCACATAACGGTTGTTTGTAACAGGCAAAACGGATCGAGATAGATATAGACAAATGTATACATAAATTATCAGAATGAAAAGAGAAATCGATTGAGCGGTGACTGTCACACGATAACTCGAGTAAAAACTCAGATATCTTAACTAAACTTGGTACGTGCACTTCTTTCGGGCGTAGAGCGGATGGTATTGAAAATGGGCAAAATCGCACAATAACCACGTCTACCTCCCATATAACGGTAATTTTAAGAAATACGAAAACTGCGATATTTTAGTAACTACTGAAGATTATTCACTCAAAATTAATATTTACAATAATCTTTAGACGAAAAATAACAGTATTATAAAATTTTGGAAAATGGGCATAGCCACGCCCACTTATGGTTACATGTGTATATCTTGGTAACCGTTGCACCAATTTCTTCCAAACTTGGCACAGTACTTGGCCTTGGTACAGCATACCAAACGGCCGAAAATTTTTAAAATCGGACGATGACCACGCCCACGCCCGAAATCTTCGATAAATCAGTAAATATTAAAGCTAATTTACTCAAAATTGATGCTGGCAACAATTCTTTACCAAGAAATACGTTTATGATAAAATTTTGGAAAATGGGAGTGGCACCGCCCACTTATGATCACATATATGTATCTCGGTAACCGTTGTACCAATTTGTACCAAACTCGGTATTTTTATTGTGCTTGCCACATAAAAGCAAAACGTTGAAAATTATTGAAACCGGACTAAAATTGAGGCCGCTTTTTATATAACGATAAACTTCAGAAATGCTTGAAACTTCGATATTTCGAAATTTAAGGACGCTAATTTGCTCAAAATGGATACACCCCGGCTTACCATGTAGCGGTAGCTTTCGGAAAGGTGATTTTCATATATTTAATACTTGCGCCGGGTATTTAATGTTCGGCTCCGCCCGAAATTAGAATTTCTTACTTGTTGAAATAATACATAGTATATATAGAGCATTATTCCAAAAAAAGGGTTTTGTTAATACATTTTAAACGGTTAATAATATTTACGTTCCGCCTCTGAATTATGATCACAGAGACCAAAACGCGCCAATTGGTATCCCACGCAAAATTTTTATATTTTTAAGCGGTTAATAATATTGACCTTCCCCCTCCGAATTATGATTACAGAGACAAAAACGCGCCAGTTGGTATCCCACCGACAAATTTTGATTTTTTTTACAAGTTCTAATAAAACCAAGAGAAGAAGAGTTATTTTTTATACGCACACTAGCTGTGCAATAGGTAAACATTACACAAAAAATTCAAATGGCTTTATTTCACTTCCGCTTCATAATGGCTTTATTTCACTTCCGCAGTGAGAAATATTTCACTTTCACAGTGATAAGATCATACAAAAAAGTATGGCCTTATTTCCCAATGTGAATTGAAATACATAGAGCAATATGGCGTTATTTCCTAAGCCTTATAACAAGACGCCGTGCAAATTTTCAGTAGTAAGGGTTTTGTTTGTGATGTGTCCTTATTGAAGAGGACCATTGATATGTACATACACTGAAAATAAAATCTGCGTAAATATAACGAAAACTTGCGTAAATCTTACGAAATTGTTCGTCATTTTGAGCCACGAAAGTTTTCGTTGATTGTACAAAACCGTTTTCGTACATACTACGAAAATATGAGGTATCAGATCTTTGGTACATTTTACGAATGTATTCGTACTATTTACTAAAGAATTTAGTACTATTTACTAAAGAATTTAGTACTATTATGAGGTGGGTTTTGTCAAAGGCTGAGGGGAACTCAGCCGATCCAGAGTCCGGCGAAGGTCCCACTAACCCCCACCAAATAAAACACACTATTTTCGTGTATTTACTTCGAACACACACACACACACGGCGCTACGACTAGAGTGCTAGCAACCTTATGTCCAAAGAGAGGGAGAGCGAGAGAGAGGTGACGCTCGTTGTGGTCGTGCGGTCGGGTCGGAGCGGATGATGGCGGGAGCGCTAGCAGCTCGGCGGGTGATTCTCAACAACTGTTGAGTATCGGTTGGGCAGCGGCGGCGGCACAGCGGGTGCCTCTCGGCAACAGCGGAGCAACGGTTGACCAACGGTGGGAGCGCTAGCAGTACGGCGGGTGAGTCTCAACAACTGTTGAGCAACGGTTGGGCAGCGGCGGCGGCACAGCGGGTGGCTCTCGGCAACAGCGGAGCAACGGTTGAGCAACGGTGGGAGCGCTAGCAGTACGGCGGGTGATTCTCAACAACTGTTGAGCAACGGTTGGGCAGCGGCGGCGGCACAGCGGGTGACTCTCGGCAACAGCGGAGCAACGGTGGGAGCGCTAGGACGGATGATATGCGGCAGCGGGTGACTTCTAACAGCAACTGGCCCTCGGCAACCGGTGGAGCGAAACGACCTAGCAAGACTAGCAAGACTCACTCCAGGCACTGCCATTCCCCTAATCGCCCTCTACAAAAGTAGGGGCTGGAACGGGTCGGCAGTGTCGGAGGCTCAACCAGCCGGCGACCAATTAGGATGCCTAAAAGGCGTGCAATCCTGGTCTGCCGGCGGGTTGAGTCGTACTTGGTTTTGGCTTGGCCAGTCGGTGACACATTGGTGCGCCCGCAGGCACACCAGCTGATCGACCGATTGGTTACGCCGAGCTTGGCTTGGCTGGCCGGCAAGACATTAGTGCGCAAGCACACCACTAGCTCATCGACCAGTCAAGTCAGCTACTCACCTAGCAAGACTGACCTGACTGCGCACTTGTTAAGCCTTTTATACCTGTTGCGCTGCATGCTTGTTGAGAATTCGTCGTGTGCCGTCCCGATTTATGCAGTGTGGTGAGCGAAGTGGTTGGTGAGTTATTCGGGCATGCTGCTGGTGTGCTGCTAGCAGTGCTCACTTGGTGGAGTATGTATGTACAATATTGTATGCATGTGCGGTGCAGTATGTATGTACAATATTGTATGTATGTACGATGCTGTATGTTACTGTATCGTTGTATGTATTTGCGGTGCAGTATGTATGTACAATATTGTATGTATGTACGATGCTGTATGTTATTGTATCGTAGCGGATATGCTACGTTACACTATTTACTAAAGAATTTCGTGGTATTTCTTAGTTTGTTACGAAATTTTTGTAAAATGCACAGAAATAATTCGTATATTTAACGAAATTATTTTCGTAAAATCTGCGCTTGTTTCGTAGAATGTGCGATTTTGCTTTCATTTTCCACACTGTAAAAAACATATTACGAACTATAACACAACACTTTTATTTGGTTTTTATCGTTAATTTTAAGCATTTTTGTTAAACAAAGCGTTTTGCAAAAACGCTTAACATTAATGATTGAAATATAATAAAAGTGTTGTGCTATAATTTTATTCATGTTTTTTATAGTGTTAATAATAAAAGCAATCATACGTTCTACGAAAGAAGAAGAAGAAGAATTTTCTGACTACACTGTAGAAAAGGTTATATTACCTATAATAAAACTTAAGTCTTTTATTTATATGCATACGAATAGGTTCTATACTACATATTTTTTTATTGCTTAGACTTCATCCAATAAAGTATATTGATGCAAAGTGTTAAACTATGAGACTCAACAAAACCAAATATAATAAGATATAAAATATGAAAGAATATAAAAAATACTGGTTTTGCTTTCTTAAACATTATAATATTTTTATGTAGAGGCACTTGACAGATTCGCATCTTCATCGATGTTTGTTTCCTTGACGACTATAAATTAAAGGAAAATTATAAGGCGTCTGAAAAGCAAGTTTCAGTGAGAAATCTTACATGCACTTACTTTTAATTTCATTAATTAGTACTCCTGGCTTAGGCTTGCCGTTGATAGGTAACTGATGAAAGATGAGTTTAAAATCTATATATATAAAAAGAAGTTACATTTCCTTGGTAATCTTATAACTCAAGAACCGCCGAACCGATTCCCACGGTTTTGCATTCGTTGGAAAGGGCTCGGGCTCCGTGAGGTTTGTAGCAAATTTTAAAAAATAACTAGGGTCTCGAGATATAGACCAAAACGTGGACCTGGGTAACCTTGGGTGTATTTGTTCAATATGGGTACAAATGAAAGCTGTTCATGAATGCTTTAAGATTGAGCACTTTTCATAT